GGCGGCGGCGGCGGCACAGGCAGGCCCGCTCCTTGTGGCCTGCCAGCCCGACAGCACATATGTCGGCTGGAAAAGCCCACAGAAGAGGGTGGCAGTGCCATGGCGGGACCGCTTTCCGGTGTCCAAGCCCGGATGGCGCCGCTGGTGGGTGTCAATCGGCCCCTTCCTCAGGCCGGGCGCGGTGTGCCTGGTTGGTCTAGACCGTGCTACCGGCATGTTCCGCAGCCAGCCGACACGGGGGATCCGGCGCGTCCCTGCCACAAAGGCTGTGTCACGCGTATATCCAACAGGGAGGGGGCGGGGCACACCCCCCCCCCCCCCCCCCCCCCGGTAGTGCGTCGGTTTGTTTGTCGACTGTTGTCCGGCACGGCGCCCTTTGTTTGGTCCTGCCGGCAAGGTGGTGGCGACGGCAAGTGCAGCAGACCAGGGGGACCGGCCCTACCCGGCCATTCCCTGACCCTCTCCCTTGCGGGGCTTTATCCCGGCGTCCTGCCGCGGTGCCTTGCCGGGCAGCCGGATTCGCCTGCGCCCGGGGCCCTCCCGCGTCCCGGTCAGGCTGCCGCCCCCTTTGCAACGGCCGGGAGCATACCCTCCCCGCGGGATGGCCCCAGCTTGTGGGACTTCCTCTCCGCCTCAGATCGTGCCTTGCCCCCCCCCCCCCCTCAGGCAGCAGCACGCCATCTGGAGTTTGCGCATCTGCCTCTTCTCCTCGCCCTCTTTCTCTCCCTCTCTCCCTCTCTCCCTCTCTCTCTCTCTCTCTCTCTCCACCAGACATCTCATGGATGGGGTGCCCAGTTGAGGAAGGTCGACACACGGCCGGACACCGGCTAGTGTGTCGAGACGGAGCTCCTGGCCCCGATGGTCTCCTGCCACTGCTGGCTCCTCGCGATCAGGAACAAGTACGTGAGCAGGGGGGGGGGGGGGAACCCGAGGCCCTCTACAGAGGGCTGCCTGCATGGAAATGCACCCGAGTGCATGCGTCCGGCTGTGTCTGCCCGAGCAGCTGCATGAGGGCGGAGGCCTGAGGGGTTGAGGGGGATAATCCTGCTCCCTCGTCTGATGACAGCCTCAAGGGCCCCGTCTCTCTTGCTCCCCCCCCCCCTCCCCTCCCCCACTGTCTCCCGCTCATTTGCCGCCCCGTGCATGTGTGGGAAGAAGTGACACCATGTGTCGGTGTGAGTGTGGGGCGGGCGGGCGGGGGCCTGGACTGGGGATTCCTGTCCCGTCCAGTTGCCAACGGACGACGACTATTTGGTCTGCCCCAGGGCCGCCGGCAAGAGCGTACCTGTTCCGGGACGTCCTCCGCCCAACGAGACTCTGTCCACGCCCCGTCTGTTTTCGGTCTTTCTTCGGCCAGCGCGCCCCCCGTGTCGGACGGGCGCGCGCGCGCGAGCACTCCGGGTATGGGATGCGCGCGTGAAACAAGTTCAGTCCCTTTCGCTGGGCCTCCTTCGTGCTTGTGCGCGACATGCCCTGCCTGTATGCCCAAGCGCACACAAGGCGTGTTCCATGCGCCGCCCCGCCCACGGGCCACATTCGATGCCTGGGTGCTTGTCCGACGTGTGGGGTTCTCTCCTTCCATGCCTTTTCGGGTGCCGTGTGCTTCCCCCTCCCCCGTGCTTGCTTGTGGGGCGGCGGCCCCGCGCGCTGGGAGACAGGGTCTGTCTTCAGAGGGGGACCCCCGGCCCCTCGTCGGCCCCCTTCAATTTCACACAGTGCGGGTCGTTTGTGCGCCCCCTCTCCTCCCACTTTTGTCGGCGGCATTCGCTCGCGCTCAGGCATGTGTGCAGTGGTGAGCGATCTCTCTTCCCTTTTCGCGCCCTGCTCGAATGCTCTCCCTGGTGATTGAAATGGTGTCCGTCAATCGCCCATCGGGGCCGCTCCTGCGCTTGTCCTTGCCAGCACAGCGAAGGGCTCCCGCTATTTTCCATTTCCATTCGGTCTTCTCTTTTTTTTTTTTCCCTTTCCGGTCGTCCCCCCGGCTCCAGGCAATTTGAAATGTGGAGGAATGCATTCACATTCATACGTCCGCCTGGCTGCGCCACACGCTGCTTCTGGGCTTGGTACTGGACCTGCCGACGCCGGCCCTCTAGTTAAGCACGGATCCCCCCCCCCCCCCTCCCTCCCCCCGGCGTGCACTCTTTTGGTCACCCAGGCGAGACAGCTCTCACTTTGATTGTCCGATCGCCATCTTATTCTCTTCTCGATCTCCCTCCCTCTCGCCCTCTCTCCCCTTGTGTGAGTGTGTGAGGTTATGTGGCCAAGCTCGCGGGCCCAGGACGCTGCAGGATGTTTGAGCACAAGGGCCTTGTTGACTGTGGCCGGCCCAAAGTCCGCCCCCCCCCCCCCCACACACACACAACCAAGAGCGTGCATACTCTCTCTCTCTCTCTCTCTCCCTCCCTTGGGAGTGTTGCGACGAGGGTGCGCGCCCCGACATGCTGACTCCCTCTGCCGGGGACTGTGTTTGTGTCGACTCTCACGCCCCTCCCTGGGCCGGGTCGTCCGCGGGCGCTCTTTTTGTCGCTCGCACCCCCGGCGACAAGGGTCCAGATGCCTTTTCCTTTGGGGACTTGCCCTTGTGTATGGGTCCCTTTGCCCTTGCCGGCAAGTGAGCGAGCAAATGAAGGCCGCCGGTCCGGCCGGTTGACTGGCGCCAAGTTGAGATGCCCAAGTGGTACACGTCCCCGCGGTGCAGGACATGCTTTCACGGAGGCCACTCATTCTGGTCCGTGAGCCGGGGCTATCTAAGCCCAAGCTCTTGGCCTGGCTCCACGTCGGTGTCAGTGCGACACCTGATGAGGGACCTGCCTCTTGGCTGTTGCTCAACCTCCAGTGTTTCCGTGTTGGAGTCGGATCCTTGCCGTGTCCCGCTCGCCGCTCCGTATTCGATCTGGGCATGTGGACACGTCCCTTCACTGACACACGGGCTCCCCGGCGATCGTGGAGTTCTGGTGCATGCGTGTCCTCTTGGACACAGGGAGTACGTGTGTGCGGAGCTCCGGCCGGCCATGCGAGCCAGAGGTCACTTGTGTTGCGATCGGCCGGATGTGTGCAACCTCCGCCCCAAGCCGCCCTCTGGGGATTCCCCACAAGGCGGTTCTACACAGGTGGCCTGGGCTATTTGCACACGCCAGCCCGTCTAGGTGGTGAGTCTGCGCCGGGGGGAGGGCGGGGCGGGGCGGGGGGAGGGGGGATGCCCATGCTGTCGGATGTGCCTTTTCGCTCGCTCCCCACAATCATTCATGTCCCCTTTGTCGACAGTGCCCTGTGAATTCGCTCGCGCGCGCGCGCGCGCGCGCGCTGGGTCATCCGCTCTTGTCGGAGGTGAGTCCCTCCGGAGGATTGACCGACTGCTGGCCACCCTGTCGTCGCCGGCAGTGTTTGTGCCTCTGTAGACACATGCCCAGCGGTGCACATACACGCACACATGTAGGTGTGTGTGTGTGTGTGTGTGTGTATGTTTTCCCGGCAGGGCGTTTTGCCCATCCCTCATGGGGGCTTGTCCCGGTGGCCACCATTTGCAACCACACAGGGCCATCTCCGCACCAGACTGGCTGGGCAGGAGACATGGCGATGGAAGCCACGGGTAGTTTTCGGTGTGACCCCACCCATGTTTATCCCGGCTGCCCTCCCGAGGGCCTGTGGGTTTCCTTATATTGGGCAATCCCTGTGTCACTAGGTCCAGCCCGCCTGCCAAGACAAGCTCAGGCCATTGCTCCGCCGCTGGCTTCGACCTGTTGACAACGGCCTTGGACAAGCCGCCTTCCCCCTCCCCCCGCCCCCCGGCACGAACGCATATGGTTGTGTTGTTTGCATCGCTTGAGCGTATGTGTTCGTGTATGTGTGTGCGCACAAGTAGGCGCACACACAGGGCACGCTCGTCGGCTGGCATCCTCAGGCTGTGCCCCTGCCTTGTTTTAGAATTCCACCTGACAATTGTGGACTGGACTCTTTCCTCGTCCTCCCCCCCCCCCCCCCGGGGTCGGGAGGCGGAAGGCAGGATTAGGGGGCGCGCGGCAGGGGCCGGCTGACTGACACTCAGACGAGCTTGCAGGCGGGGGACGGCGATCTCCTTGTCCCTGTCTTCTGTGAGTATACTGTCCTTTATCTGATGATCGGAGCTTGGTTGCGCCGTGGACCCGATCAGTGCCGCGGAGTCCCCCTCCCCACTCAAGTTGATTCCTTCCCCCTCGCCCCCTCTCTCCATCTCTCTCTCTTTCTTTCTTTCTCTCTCTCTCTCTCTCTCTCTCTCCCCCCCCGGAGATTCTGTGTGTGGATAAGTGTGTGTCTTGGTGGTGTGGGTGTTTGAAGCGTGCCTGTGAAGGTGCCTCTGTGGGCTCGCACGATTCTGAGTGGCATTTCAGATTCTCCCCACGGCCATCCTTTATTGCTCTCTTCCAACCGGGCCTCTGCCATCGCCCTCCTCTTCCTCCTTCTACCCTCTTTCCTTTTCCCTCTGCTCCTCTCCCCGACCTTCCCCTCCTCCTCCTCCTCCTCCTCCTCCTCCTCCTCCTCCCTTCCCCCCCCCCTCTCTCTCTCTATCTCCCTCTCTCGCCTCACGAGGCTCCCTTTCCCCTCGTTCTCTCCAGGTCTCTTCCGATCAACAACCTCTTCCTCTTCCCCCGATTGTTGCTTCTTCAATCCATTCCCCCTTCCGCCCTCCGGCTCCCCTCCTCTCCTCTCGCATGCTGCCTCAAGCTGCGCGCTGACCCCTCCCCCTCCCGCTTTCAGAAAGAGAATAGCGCCTTGGTGGTTACATCATCTCTGCGATCCATACACACCCCCATCGCAAAGTCTGGCCGGCTCCCCAGCTTAGCTTCTTCAAGGACTTGCGGTGACACAACACTGGTTCGCTCCTTTCCCCTTTTCCCCTTCCCCGCCCTCCCTCTCCCTCTCTCTCTCTCTCTCTCTCCCCCCTCGATGCGACTCTCTCTTCCCCCACTCCCTGCCTCTTTCCTCGCTGCCTGGCCTGGCCCAGCCATGCTGACTCCTGATTAGACACTGGGCCGTGTTCCGAACACCACTTTCCCGCACGAAGGGCGCACCTCCTCTACTCGCCAACGTTCCCGTCCTCCTCCCTGCCTATTCCCAATTGGCTCCTTCTGCCTCCGTGTCCCCCCCCCCTCCCCTACTGCGGACCGAAGAGGAGGGGCCGAATCCTCGCCTGCCGGCCCCGCCCGTGCTCCTCCCCTGCTCTGGCCCGTTTCTTTCTCCCTCTCTCTGTCTCTTGATTGTCCGCGTGCGAAACACCGATGCTCCCTTTCTCGGCGCAATTCCACCCCCAACAGGGCATGCATGGTGCCACCATGACCGACGACATGACCGCTTATGGCAACATGGGCGCCTATGATGGCTCCTTCACCACCGGCGGCCAATCCATGCCCCAGCAGCCCGCTGCTCATCAGCCCTGTGCGTTTGGCTCCCTCCCCCTCACCTCTCTCCCCCCCCCCCCCTGCTTATTTCCGTCTCCTCCTCTGATCTGTTTGCCGCCATGTGCCTCCTCATCATCACTGACCGCATGTCCGGCCGTTCGGATGTGGCGTTAGTCACCAACGATGGCAGTGCCGGTCGTTCGCTGCAGGGCCATGCCCAGCAGCCGCAAATGGCCGGGCAATTCCACACTGGCGCGCACATCGCCACCGACATGTCCACCTCGTCACCTGCCTTCTTGTCGCAAACAGCGCTCCCTTTGGCCAATTACCAGTCGCACCCGGTGGCCGACTCGATAGGCTCGATGGGTGACAGTGCTGGGGCATACCGCTTCATGCCACTTGACCCGCAGACTGGCCCGGAGCCCGGCATTGGCCTCAGCACGGAGCCGCATCGGACCTTCGGCATGATGGATAAGCGAGGTAGGACCGATCTTTTTCCCGGCTGTCAAATGCCTTGGTCTCCTTTTTGCTCGACATTGGCGTCTCTCTGCCTCTCTCTTTCCCCTTCCCTCTCCCCCCTTTCCCCCTCCTCGGACCCTGTCTGACTCCATCCTCCTTATGCAGCCGATACCTACCAGGTGGACTATGACCATGGCCGCATGCCAACCGTGCGCATTCTCCCCTCTGATCCTGGCCGCTGTTCAGCTCCCCTTGCCGCGTGTCCTAACCCGCGTGAATGTGGTTCCCTCCCCTCTCCTTTTCTCTCTCTCTCTCTCTCTCTCTCTCTTAATCACTCTTCTTCTTCTTCTTCTTCCTCCTCCTCTTCTAGCTTCTTGAGCAGGACCGGCCAGCTGGAGGTTTCATGCTGGACGGAAATCTCACTGGGCGGACGGTCAACCACCAGGGGATGCTCCACCCGCAAGCGAACTCGGTCCCAGGGACAGGCATGCACGCGACACCTGCGACTGCTGCTGCGACGGCGGCGGCCGCCGCCGCCGGCGGACTGAACATTGTCCTGGGCTCCTCGCACATGGTCACCCAGCTACAGGGCGGCTTCCCGGCCGGGCAAGCCGGGCCCCGGCCGCCGAATCTCTTTGGGGCCGGCGGCCCTCCCCTGGGCAACAACGGCAATTACACCTTTGCCCAGCCGCAGATGGCTGCCGGGCAGAATGCCGTGCTCTATGGGCAGGGGCATGTGGGCGCGGTGCGGCCGCGGCCGGTTGGCAACAGCCCCCACATGCACCCCTTCCTTTCTCCAGGTCAGCTGCTGCCCAATCGCATGGGTCCCTTCAATGCGGTTAACTCCTCGGGCATGATGGTCCTCCTGCAGGATGTTGGCATCATGGCAATGCGTCCCCCGGGTTCCAGCGGCGCTGGACATCCCTATGCCGGGATGTCGGCACCCTTCCGGCCGATGGTCAATGACCCGAGTGAAAGCAACAGCAACGCGCGCATTCGCCAAGCTAGACGGTGGTACGTTTTCACCCGCCGGAACATGCCCGCGCCCTGCCCCGGCCGACTCTCTCTCGCTCTCTCGCTCTCTCTCTCTCTCTCTCTCCCTCCCTCCCTCTTTCTCTCTCTTTCTCTCTCTCTCTCTCTGCTTGTGTAAACTTCTTTCTGAGACCCCCCCTCGTCCCCCTCACTCATTCCTCTCCTCTCATCCACGGCGGTACGCCTCGGCGATCACATAGGCTCGTGCATACCTTTGTCTTGACGCCGGACTTTAGCTTCTTCATCCCCCGGGCATCCATGTACTCGAGTTATGTGGCTTCCATCGGGGATGATGCCTTGAATGCAGCCACCTTCGGCAAGGTCATTCGGTCGGTCTTCCCGTCTGTGCGCACGCGGCGCATTGGCGCACGCGGGTGCTCCAAGTACCACTACTTTGGGATCCGCTTTGCGCACGATGAGGGCCCGCCCGGACCCAAGGGCGTGGGCCCGGTTGTTCAGCTGGAAATGGAGGAGGCCGAGCGCACCCGGTCCACCTCGAAATCTTCCGATCCCAATGACAAGGACGAGTCTCCGGGCAGCGATGATGAGGAGGAGACCACCAGTACCACCAGCGGCGCCTCCTCTCGCCAGCCTGATGAGGGGGACAATTCAAATACCTCCGCCGGCTCGCAGGAGGACGATCTGGCTGCGGCGGATCCGGCCACTAGCACCTCCGGCGACATGGTCGAGGCCGAGGGTGGCGGTGGTCCTGGCAGTGGCTCCGGCGCTGCGCATCTGCACAGCAAGCTCCATGTCACGCGAGTTCAGTCACCGACATCGCCCACATCGCCGATGGTGGCCGGCGGTGGTGTGGCCGCGGATTCCGGGCCCCGGTCGGCCGGGCTCCGGCGTGGATCAAGTGGCGGCCTCCCCTCGCCCTTGAGCGGCGGCCACTCGTCCATGGGGCGCTCGGCGCTGGCGGCGTCGTCGCGCGTGATGCACTCTTCGGTCGAGGCGACAGATGCGCTGCCGCCCAGCGGTGGCGATCTCCCCGGCAGCCAGCCACCCTCTCAGCGTGGTCGTAGTGCCTCCATTTCGCAGCATGTCCGGGGTGATTCTGGCGAAGGCATCGCGTCTCACCATGCGCCCTCCGGGCAGACGGCAATTCATGTCATGCAGCAGCAGCAGCAGCAGCAGCAGCAGCAGCAGCCTACTCAACAGAGTAATGGCTCGGCCCATGCGCACTCCCTCCCCCCTTCCCCTTCGGCCTTCTATGGGGGTGCGCGTGTTGGCGTCCGGCCGGCCAGCTCGAGCCAGCTGACCAGTCTGCCCGCCTCAACCGAGGGTGGCTTCCCCCCACCGGGCGGGCCGACCGAGAGTGGTTCCAGCCCGAATGGCTTCCCTTCGGCCAGTCCCAATGGGTCTATGATGGGCAGCGGCCCGATGCCCAGTGGTGGGTCGCTCGGTGGCGGCCCTGGCGGCGGGCCGCCCCACGGCCTTGGCCCGGATGGCCACCCGCGCTTTGCCGTGGCCCGGCGTCGAGCGTCAGTCCCCTCGCTGGTGCCCTTCAGCAATCCAACTGGCGGCCCGTCCGGGCCCGGGTCTGCTGGGGGACATCAACAGCAGCAGCAGCAACAGCAGCAACAGCAGCCGGATGCCGTGCGCTACTTCCAAGCCTTGGCCAGCGGCCAGGTGAGCGCTCCTCTCAGCGGGGCCAGCCCATCGCCTGTGGGCGGCCCCGGGTCCGGCCCCGGGGTCAGCATGCGCCCAGCCAGCGCCCAGCCCTTCTCCTCTCCCCTGTCAGTTCCTCCCTCGCCCTCGATTCACCCTTCGGCTGGGGGGGTTGGTGCTGGAGGATCGACCATGTCGTCCCCCTCGACCGGAGTGCCCCACATGCACGCCAATCAACCACACGGGCTTGGCCATGCCCATCATGGGCATCACGCCCACCAGCAGCAGCAGTCGCAGTCGCAGTCGCAGTCGCAGTCGCAGATGGTGCCGATGACCGTGGTCGGGGGGTCCCGGCGGCCGAGTGTAGATTTTTCGGCCGGGCCGCCCACTCTTGGCTCTGCTTCTGGCGCCAGTGGCAGCATGCCACTGGGCCCGAGTGCCGGTGGCTTGAAGCACATGTCCCCGGGCTCGGGGCCCGGGGCCCTGCCATCGGCCGCTCGCCGCCGGGCCAGCTACGACGTCGGAGCCAGCTATATTACTGGCCGCGCCGCGCCGAGCGACGGTACGGCCTTCCCTCCGAGTCAGTTCCCTCCGATGCTGCACCATGGTGCCGGCGGGGCGATGGTCGGTGGAGGACTGCGCGGGCCCACCGGCGTCGGTGGCTCGGTGGATGCGCAATCGCCGGAATCCACTGGGTTCCTTGGGCCGGGTGGCCGGCTCTCAGCCGGGGGACTGCCCTCGGGCCCGGGTGGCCTTCGGCCGACCTCCGCCGCCGGCGGGGGGTCTACTTCGTCGTCAGCTTCCTCGGCCTCATCCTCGAGCTCCTCATTGTCCACCCCGGCTGGCGGGTCCCTGCCCTCGCTGGGGACCATCAAGGACCTGGCCGTGTCGCCGACCTCCTCCCTCGGGGGCATGGGCAGTCAGCCGCTCCTGTCGCTGCCGGGCGGCCCGTCCCCGTCGGTGGGCTTCAGCACCGGGTCTGGGGTTGGCGGCGCTGCCGGTGGCGGTGGCTTTGCCTCGGTGGCTTCCATTCTGCCGGGGTCTCAGCCGCTGGAGCCGTCTGAGAGCCCGACCGCCGTTGGGAACCGCCTGACCCAGCGTCGACGCAGCAGCCATGAGGCCGAGCTTCTGATCTATGCCTCGGAGAAGCGGTGCGTGCCTCCGGGGGAATCTCTCATGTCGACCGCGAAAGCACCTACGCCCATGCGATGTCGCCCCGCCGAACGGCGCATATTTCGCCGATGTTGACACCCCCCCCCGCACCCGACCCTCCTTCTTTCGCCCTCTTTCCTCCGCTCTCTCTCTCTCTCTCTCCCTTTCCTTCTCGCTCAGGCGTCTTCATGGCCACATTTCCAACATGGTCAGCCCCTCGCACAATATCCCCCAGCCCGGGCCGCAACATCACCACCTGCAGCATCTCCCGGGGCCAGGTCAGCAGCAGCCTCAGCAGCATTCCTCTGCTCCCTCTGCCAGCCTCAGCCACCCGGGTGTGGCGAGCGCCGGGCACGGGTCGACCTCCTACTCGTCGGACACCCTGTACAGTATCCACACGCCGGGTCAGTCATCCACGTGCTCTTCGCCGGCGCCACTGGCAGCCAGCCCCTCCAACACCCCGCTGGCCCCGATGACCGGCAGCGCGCTGGCCTCCTGCTTCACACCGCCGAAGTCGACCGGTGGCTCGAGCCACCTGCCGACCCCAGTGCGTGCCTTGCCCTGCTTTTCTCGCCCTGCTTCTCGGCCATTTGTGCTTGGGCCGCTGGCTCACCCTCGCTGCGTGTTCTCCCCCCCCCTGCCCCCCTGCCCCCCTGTTGCCCCTCTCGACCCCTCGACCTCTTTGCCGGTGGCACATGTGTAGGAGCTCTCTTCCATCGAGGAGTTCCGCCGGCAGTATGACCTCCAGTGTGTGAGCAACCTCAACTCCCTGACCGGGGCCCTGGCCGCCGGTGAGGAGTTGCAGTACCCGGCGGCCGAGGAGCACATCGCCTGCGAGGTGCGGGACTTTTGGCTGGCCATCCCGTCGAATGTCATCCGGCAGATGTCGCGCAGCGAGCTTGGCGAAACCGTCCGGCGGATGGATGAAATGTCCTTCGATCTGCTGGTCAAGAAGATGGTGCCCCTGCGGCCGGACGCCGATCCGGCCATGGTTGGCCCGCTGCTGGCCCGGCTGAAGCGCGCTCGCAGTACCCTGACGTATGTTCTCTCCTCTGCCGGGCTGCTGAATCCCCTGTGTCAGCGCTTTGAGCCGACCACCTTCTCCACGGTGACCGAAAGCAAGGCCCTGGCATTGGAGACCTTCCAGACGTCACTGGTCAACTTGGAACTCCTCCTGCCAGCCGGCGAGAACCTGGTCGCGGGATTGTCCGATCAGGCATCGGCCCTGGCCACACATTGGCAGGGGCTTTGGGCCCTTTCCCCCGGCAGTGGAAGCGGCGGCTCGGTCGGCGGCAGCGGAGGCGGCTGTGCCTTCCCCATTCAGACCCTGGTTACCCCGGACCAGTGGCAGCCGATGGCCGAGTACCCGGCCGACCTGATCACCAATGTGGCTACCGGGGTCCGGGCTCTCTTCGAGCAGACGGCCACCCTGGTGCAGCAGCATGTGTCGGATGTCGTCGTCGGCCTGGCCGCCACCCAGCAGTCCCCTTCTGCCACCGAGGCGGGAATGACCTCCGCCGGCGGGGCGGGGGCCGGTCACCTGCAAGTGTCCGCCGAGTCGCCCTTCTTGTCGTCATTCTCCCTGGTGAATGGGTCCTCGCCGCCGTCCTCCTCGCTGGGGGCGCTGACCAGCACCTCTGGGGGGGGCGCCGGCGGTGGCGTGGACGGTGTCGGATCGCCGCAGCACTCCCCAGCCCCCGGGCCCGCGAGCATGATGTCACAGGCGTCCACGGCCCTGCGGCAGCATCTTCTCCGGATCTGGACCGCCTGGAGCATCGGCCGGGCGGATGCCCTGCTCGAGTGTCTTGGTCAGTATTGGCCGCATCTGGGGGCCTCGGCTCCCGGAGGTGGCCGGGTCTGGACTCGCCGAGCCTTCGATGAGGTGTCCGCTTCGTGGACTCGGCTGCTGAGTTTGATGTTCAGTCTGACCGCCGTGGCCGTTGCTTCCACCACCAGCACCGGCGGCGGCGGAGCAGGCAGCAGCAGCAGCAGCAGCAGCAGCAGTCACCACCTGAAGCCGGCGCTGGATATGACCAGCGAGTTCCTGGTCAAGTGCTTCCGCTTCTACTTCACTCAGAAGTCGGTTGACACCCTTTTTAAGCAACTGGGTGGCGTCTCGGCGGAGGATCCACGCGCGATTGCGGGCGGTGCCATGGTTGGCAATGGGCAGCACCAGTTTGCCGTGCACCAGCGCCGGTCCAGCGGCGGCATGGCCAGCGCGCTGTCCAGCCAGTCTGGCTTGTCCCCCGTGCCGGAGGTCCAAGCAGATCTGACCGACGGCGATCTGGATGATGAGCTGGCTGATGGCGGCGCCTACCATGCTCCTCATGGTGGCGTTTATCAGCCGACAGGTGGCAATGTGCCCTCATCGCATCTGGCCTTGCCGCAGCAGCAGCAGCAGCAGCACCATCATCATCACAGCGCTTCGCACCATTATGGTCAGACACCCGGCGGTGGTGACTTTGCCGGGGATTTCGGCCCGAACGAGCACAAGCCCCACCGGCGAACGATGTCTGGTGAGCTGCCAGACCACTCGTCCCCCTCGGTGCCGACTGTCGCTCGGTCCATCGCTCACATGAAGCTCGTCGACATGGCAGGCCCGGCCGGGAGCAGCGCCCCTTCCTCGCCACACCACGGGGGCATCAGCTCGAGTGGATCCGTCGGCGGCCCATCCCTCCGGCCCCTTGGCTCCATGTCCTCTTCACAACAGCAACAGCAGCAGCAGCCTCCGCCCTCGGCGTCATCGGCCTACTTCGGCATGTCCAAGTCCGGCGGCCTTGGTGGCATTTCGGAAGAGCCGTCCACCACCTCCTCGATGCACTCGGTATGTCACCTCTTCTTGCGATAGACGCGGGGCCGTTCATGTGGGCCTCGCAATATGTCCCTCGCGATTGCCTCTTGTGCTGTCGCTTTCCGATCTTCCCGTTCACCCGCCTTCCCTCTGAACCACGGCCATGACCTCTAACCGTTCCCTGCCTTGTGATGCTGGTATTTCTCATCTTCCTTTGGCCATGTCTAGCCCTCGCACCATCTCCATAGCTCTCAGCATGCACAGGCCCCCCAATCGCAGCAGTTCCAGCAGTTCCAGCAGTTCCACGCGCATGCCCCTCCTGGGGCGGACCTGGCGCAGCAGCAGCAGCAGCAGTCGCAAACGAACCACGGCACGAATGATTCTGCCCTTCGCTCTGGAGGCGACGCCAGCGCTGGGCACCTGCAAAATGGTGGCGGCGGCGGCGGCGCAGGGTATATGTCGTCTGGTGCCTTTGTTCCTCACCAGAAGTCCGGACTCCATCAGGCGAGCGCAACCGCCCACATGGGTTCCGCAGGGGCGGAAACAGAGTTCCTGCCTGTCGACGAGGATGCAGTGACCAATGGCACCGCCGCTTCCCTCCGGACGGCCATCACCTCCGGAGATCATCATTACTCTTCCGGAGGGGGGCTCAGTGTGGGCGGGCCGGGTGCCATGCTCGGTGGTGGCGGCGACGATCCAGCCTCTTCAAGTCTGAAGATGGCTGTCTCGTCATTTGGCCTCTCGGCCAGCGGTGGTAGCGCCCTGCACGCGGACCCCAATGGTCTTGGGGCCGCAAGCGGGATGTTCCATTCGGGCAGCGTCCCGGGTGGCGGCCTGGGCCCCGACACCGGGGTGGAGCACCACCTATTCACGGGCACCGGCGAGCCTTCGTCCCCTTCGCTGCTGGTGTCTTCGGCCCACCATCACCATGGTCTTGGACCGGATGACTTGCCGCAACATTCGCACCATGCCATGGGATCCGGGGCCAATGGTGGCAGCGGTGCCGGCCTGAGTGATGGCAGCCTCCACTTTGCTGGGGCTTCTCCGACGCACCATCACCAAATGCAGCAGCAGCAGCAGCAGCAGCAGCAACCGCCGCCGCAGCAGCAGCAGCAGCAGCAGTTGCTGCTGCCTCCCGCCCACCACGGACCGCCCGACTTTGGCAAGGGGGCCATGGCCATTTCGCCGGGTCTCGATGCCTCAGCCGATCCCCATCATTTGGACTTGACTGGAACCGGGCGTGCGGTGACGGCCCACCACCAGCCTGCGCATCATCATCACCACCCGCACCACCACCCGCACCACCACCAAGGCGGTGCCTCGTCGGAGGAGTCCCACGGGTCGCACCCCGGGGCGGCTCCCACTCCGGGCAACCTTCACTCCTCCCCTTCACAGCAGCATCAATCATCGCACCCAGGGGGGTTCTTGACGACGGATGGCAACGGCAGTGCCAGCAATCTCGGGCCCCATCACATCCCGCCAGGCCAAGGCGGTGGCAGTCACCCCAGCGGCCCCGGCAGTGGCGGTTCCCTGGCTCCCCTCCGGCACCTTCACCAACAGCAGCAGCAGCAGCAGCAGCAGCAGCAACAACACCAGCAACACCAGCAACATGCAAATGACGGCGGCGACAGTGGTGGTGGCGGTGGTGGTGGTGGTGGTGGACATTACCACCATCATCATCACCACCATCACTCGGGCTTGCATGCGGACATGTATGCCTCCGGCTCGGGTGTAGTTGTTCCCGGCAGTGGGGTGTATGAGAGCGGCTCGCCAGATCTTTTTGGTGCCGTGATGGCCGCAGCCGGTGGAAGTGGCGGCCCCTCGCCCTCGGTCGGGTCTGTGCCCGGCGGCCCGGAGCTTGGCCATAGTCTTGCCGGCTCGCCAATGCTCAGTGCCGTGGGGGTCTCGTCGATGGGATCCAGCGGCCGGGTTCACCCGGTAGCCGGTGGGGCGGCCGCCGCCAGTCGCTTTGATCCGGATGCCTCATTCGGCTTGAGTGGCATGTATGAGGCCGGTGCCGCGGACCCCTACTTCGGTCAGTAGCTGGTTTGCGAAAGGGAGGAAGTGACATTCCAGCACGCCATCCGCCGCTCACACAGTACGGTGGACGTGTGCGCGTCCATTACGCCCTCGCTCAGTGCGGCCGCCAGCCCTCTCTGTCATTGTGGTCTGGAGTGCCGTGCTCTTTCCCCACACCTCCTTTGCCCTTTCTATTCTTCCCCTCCCCCTCCTGCTCCCTTGTAGTTATTGGCACACGCGCGTACCAAATGGGGCACTTTCCCCCCCCCCCCCCCCTCCCACACACATGTCGGCGCTGAGCCTCCCTCCTCTCTCTCTCTCTCTCCCTCTTCCCTCCCCTGTCGAATATCACCTTGATCCTCCTTTCGCTGCTGCCCCTTTCCCGCCTTCCCTCATTTCTCCCCCACTCTTGTCTTCTTGGCTCCTGTCTCGGCGGCAGGCGGGCGGGCGGGCGGGCGGGGGGGATTTTCCCTCTCTCACACCATCCTGCCGACCAGTGCAGCCGATAACGCAAGTGCCCTCGATCGCGCCAACTTGTAATTGACATCCGCACATTTGCTCGAACTGGTCAGCAATGGTGCTTCAATTAATCCACGCTTAGCCGCGCCCGGAGCGCGAATGTGGCCACAAAGTGCGGCCAAAGCCAAGCGGGCCACACCAGCTCGGGGCCTGGCTCGTACCATCGCCGTTGGCACATCTGCCTTTTGCGGTGGCTTCTCATGGTTTCCCGTAGCCAGGCATACGGCTATTGGAGCTGCCTCTGATCCCATGATGGGAAATCACGCCCAAGCCGGCTGTGTTGATTGCCCCCGGACCGTCCCCCCCCCCGCCCCCCCCAGTGTTTGTCAAATCCCCGACCCGATGACCGAAAAGCTAGATCCCCCCCAGACCCTTCGCGTGCTCGGGCCGCAGCCCTACCTCCACCAATGCCCTCCCTTCGCCCATCCCCCTCCTCCCTTCCCTTCTTTCCCCCTTCCCTCCTGTCTGTCGGTCCCGTCTCCCCTCGCCTCGCCCTGCGCCTTTGCTGTCCTTTCATTTTTTTCCCGCCCCCGCCCCCGACATCGGCTCGGGCGGCTCTACCCCTGCTTCTCGCGCGCTCGTGCCGGTCGCCATGTCCGCCTCCGTGCCCATTCCCCAGGTGACTGAGTCGCCGGCAGCCGTGTCCTCGCCAGACTCATCGCCTTCAAGCTCAACTTCAGCTTCGCCCGATGGTTCGTCCCTCCTGGCACTCCCCCCCTCCCCCCCCCCCACCCAGCCCTCGCGACCCTCGCCCGCCCTGCTCCCTCGATCGTCTTGCCTCCTCGCCAAGGCCCACTTACCGCTCCACAGACACCTCGGCCCCCCCGCCGCGGGTGGTGGCCGGCTTCGCTCTGCCCAATGTGCTGAGCTCCAAGCCGGCAACCGGCCGGGGCAGCGCCTTTTCCCCGCTGGGCAAGGCGCCTGCCCCGGCCCTCGGGCCGGCCCCTCCCCCCACACAGATGCACCTCTGTCAGGACACCGAGCCCCCGTTGCTGGCCCTGCCGATGCCGATCTTAGACACCCCGGCCACCCTGGCATCCATGGCGCCCCCGGTGCCGGGTCTCTCCGACCCCCTGGCCCAGTCGACCCTGCTGGCTGCTCAGCAGGCGGAGGTCTTCACCCAGCGCATCCTGACCATCCGCTTTTGCAATAGCCTCCTCCGGTCCAACAGGGCGCGGGTTTTCCAGTTCCATGTCGATCCATATGCACCCGACCAGGCAGCCGAGGCGGACGGCCGTGCGGTGGCCTTTTGGCACGCGGCGGTCCAGTGTCTACTTGTCCCCTTCGAGACGGGGGCCGGGGCCACGACGTCTGCGGCTCGCTTTGATGTCGGTCTGGCGACACTACGTGACCTGGCCAGTCGCCATGTCGATGCACGGGACTACCCGAGCTGCCCGCCGGCGCCTGGGGCCGATCCACTGGCCCCGGTAGATGCCCCCCTTGCCGGGACCCTGTCCCCGCCCTCGGATTTCCTACACCCGCCGGGGGAAGTGCTCGGGACCATGCGGCCCGGACTTGGCAGCCCATTGGCCGTCGGAGCCGGCATGCCAGGCGACCAAACGCACCCGCCCGCCGCCCCATTGAGCTCGCTCTATGTCAGCTCGGCTTCCTCCTTTTGCGCGTGGGACTTCGCCCTGGCCCTGGTGAACCCGGGGTACACCCTGCCCGAGGTCTTTGTGCGGACTTTCTCCGCCTCGGCCGGGCCCCCGGCAAATGGCGCCTCGGCCATGATGGCCGCCTCCGCCACCTTGCCTCCGGCCGGCCTGCCGAGCACCTGGCTGACGGTCAGCCCGATCCCCAAGAAGATCGCCGGGGCCATGGGGCCGCGCCTGCGGCACTCTCTTCTCTGGCGCGCGCTGACCACCACCCTTCGGCCATCCAGTCTCATCCATCACAAGCTACCGGCGGAGATTCCCCCGCGCGTGGCGGTGCGCGGCTGTGTCCTCTCGCCTCGGCCTGTCTGCCTCTCTCGCTCGCTCGCTCGCTCTCTCTCTCTCTCTCTCCATGCTGGCTTGGCCATTCACACTGTCCCCTTCGCCCCGCCCCCCCCCCCCCCCCATGGTCTCCCCTCACCGCCCATTTGGGGACCGGGGCCACGTCGCAGCTCATTCGCATGCTCACCACGGATGGACGCAAGCTCGGAGCCTCCGGGCCCACGGTCGGCCTGGTGCTGGCCCAATGGCTGGACACCTGCCTGGCCAGCTACATGGCCTGCCTTCGCCCGTGCTGCTCGTCCGGCAATCTGAGCAGCCCCTCCTCGCCGCACCTTTCGCTCGGGGTACCGCAGCCGCCGGATGCCTTGCTGGTGCTGGCGTTCCTCCTGGCGGCGGTGGTGCCGGTGGCCAAGTTTGGCCTGTCAGCGGCCGGCCCGCACGCGGCCAGCCGTCTGGTGGCCGCTGTGTCCGAGTGTCTCGGTGTCCTGGCGACCGACCTTTTCCTGGACTTCCACCACAGCCAGAGCACCAACAGCGCCGCGGGGGCTGATCTCGCGGGGGCCACTCACACGCACCAGTCGTCTCTTCGTCTGCAAGCGGCGCGGCTCTGGTACGCGCCCCTCCCGCCGCCGCCGCC